AAAAAAAAAAAAAAGACTGGAAGAAGCTAAGCTGGAGAAGCAGACAGAGAGTTCTGCTGTTTTATTGGTGTGCAAGGCACATCTTAGTTTTCCCTCTGTCGTGTATCTGGCTGAAAATTATGACAACTTTTTCTCTAGTCTTAGAAACACGGTAGGTTTAACCTAAGTTGTGTCTGTGGCTAAGAATATAAACATTTACAATATTTAACAACCGGGGCAGCACAGGCACCAACCACTCAGAATGGGGTGCCAGCCCCCAAATAAGCAGGCGGCCGTGCCAGTTTGCAGGGGCTGAGTTCCAGCCACCTGACCATGAGCGGCCATGTGTTTTGCAGCCTCCCAACTTGACAGACAGGAAGCCGAGCCGCACGGGCTCCATTGTGCTGCCCTACATCATGTCTTCCACTCTGCGGAGGCTGTCCATCACCTCCGTGACGTCCTCCGTGATCTCCACCTCTTCAAACTCCTCCGACAATGCTCCCTCCAGACCAGGATCTGATGGGTAAGGGTTTGATCTTTAATTTTTAGGAGGGGCGGAGTAACGCCTCACTAATGCTGGTGTTTGGTCACCAAAGTGAAGCTCAGTCAATGTAGGTGCATCCGCCCCTGGGAAAAATAATTCAGAGTTCATGGTTATTAGCCTTTGGGTCACTCTTCTTATCTCCCTCCTGAGGAATGTCATTCTTAACATAATGATAACAATAGTTACTAAAAGTGAGACATGAAAAAAATCCGACCACCCTGTTCCGTACCTTACAGTCATTGCCTAAATTTTTCATCATTTCAGTTTTTAAAAACAATTGTTAAATTTATATTTATTTCATGAATAGGTACTATAATCACATAGTATGAAATTCCGAAAGTACAAAAGGGTATATCATGAAAAATCTCCCTTCAATATCTGTCTCTCAATGACCAGTGTCACTTCCCCGAAACAAATGATGTAAACATTCAGGTTGTTAGTAAGCAAGTTCTTTGTGAGTACACAGGCAATACCCGACACAAATGGTAGCATGCTCTTAACCTTGCTTTGTTTCATTTATCTTGGAACGTATTCCATTTTAGAACATAAAGAGCCTCCTCTTTATGCTTTCTGTAGCTATGGACATCCCATTGTATATCTGTACCGTGATTCAAGTTGAGTATCCCTTATCTGAAATGATTGGGACCAGAAGTATTTTGGATTTTTGATATTTTTGGATTTTGGAATATTTGCATTATACCCATTTGGCATCCCTAATTCAAAAATCTGAAATCCAACATGCTCCAGTGAGCATTTCCTTCAGGCGTCATGTCAGGACTCAAAAAGTTTCAGATTTTGGAGTACTTTGGATTTTGGGATCCAAAATTTAAGGATGCTCAGATTATATATTCCACCTCCATGCCTATGGGACATTTAGTTGATTTTAGTCTTTCACTGTCACTGCTATGTGGCAATTAATAACCTTAAATGCAGGTTATTTTGCACGTATACAAGTCTATCAGTATGAGAAAAATCCTGTAACTGAAATTGCTCTGTCAGAGATACATATTTGCAATTTCACAAATTATTTCTAAACTGATTTCTGTAGAGATTAAACCAGTTTACATTCCTGCCAGCAACATAGAAGAGCACCTGGTTACCCATCCCTTCCCACCAGATTCTATTAATCTATTAATAATATCAATCTTCTTAATTTTTGCCAACCTGATAGGTGGATAATGTTTTCTTGTTTAGGTTTTTTTTTTTTCCCCTCCATTTCTCTTGTTTAGTTGAGCATCTTCTCATTTGTTTAGTAGCTGTTTGTATTTTATTTCCTGTGAACTGTGGTCAAATATTTTTTTCTGTTGGATTCTTGGCCCTTTGTCTATAATTTGAGTTGGAATATTTTCCCCCATTTACTCTTTCATCTTCTGACTTCTGAGTTTTTCCCTCAAATGTTCTATTGGGTTGTGCTGATTTTTTTTT